CATCATTCACTTTAGCCTCAACCTCTAACATATTCTTTACTAATCTTCTACATAGAAGAAGAGCTCTGGTTCAGTTTAGAAATATCACAGAAGAGGAATCTTCAGAAGAAGAAGAAGTTCATCCTCTCATTCTTTTAGATTCATCTTCACTACAATCTCAAAGAAATCAAGAAGAAGAGATGGCAGATCAAGCTATATAAACCTTAGTTCAAGCACTTCTATCTTTCATGCAAGTAATGCAGAACTAACAAAACATACAGGTTGAGCTGATAATAATATTACTTCTCTTTTACAGTAGTGAAACATATAAAGATTCTATGAATTAGATTGAAGAATTTATCTGTGCAACAAATGCAAATAACATAACTAATCCCAGAAAAGTAGAGATTGTATCCATCTATTTGAGAGGAATTGCATCAACTTGATATCAATAAAGAAAACTTGTGAATACTAATTGATCTATCAGTTAGAATAGTAATAATGATAATGATTCATTTTATCAAATCTTTATTATCCAATTCAGAACTAATATCCAAGTCTTGGCATAACAACAATAATTAAGATTAAGAATGCAGGGAATAAATGAAGATATAACTTCATATACTAAGAATATTTGTATGCTACTCTGAAAGATTGACCTAACAAATACATATTCCACCACTTACTATGTTGAGTAATTTGTAAAAGGCTTGAAACCAGAAGTTACCTTTTATGTAAATAAATCTAATCCAAACACCCTAGATGTAATGATCACAAAAGTAATCAGTACTGAATCTAGTTACAGGCAAATATATCAGAACCCTCTTAACTTTATTTCATTCAAGCCACAAAATCTTGGCATCCTCTTTTCTATTCCAAGTTCAGCAAATGATATAAGCAAAGCTATAGCTGATCTTACTGAACAAGTAAAAAAGTTATCTATTCAGAATAATCAAAATTCTAGTAATCATTCTAATCAAGAAAAAACTTATTATAATTATAGTAAAAACAATCATATAGCCCAAGATTGCAGATTACCAAAGAAGAATATAAATAATAATGATAATAATAATATCTCAAATATTAAGTACTTCAAATATAATAAAATAAGATATTACGCTAATAGCTGCACAGAAAGAAATATGAATACTAGATAGCCAGCCTATCTTGGAATCAATACTATCACCACAGTACCAGATAATAATCTTTTATTACAATAACTATAATAACTTCTAGATAGATAGTCCATAACACTCCCATCTCTTAACATCACCACCACTAATAATAGTAATATTCTGTATTTAAACTAGAGTCTATACCTGAAGAAGATCAGAATACAAGTCAATCTCAAAAGTCTTCAATAATATTTTTACAATAACTGCTAACTGAAATTATAGAAAAAAATAAAAATCTAGAAAAAAAGAATGGAAAAGTAGTAAACGCAGTCCACTATGAAGAAAAAGTAGAAGATTAACTTATCAAAATAATAATTGATAGTGAATCAGTCAGCAATATTATGTCAGCTAGATTTTTGAAATAAGTAGGAAGAAAGATTAATAAGCCCTTCAATATCAGTCTTATAGGAATAAATGGAAAACCTGAATAATCACTAGAAGAAATAGAAGAATTGAAATTAAAAATTAGAGATCTTGATCAACAAATAGATACTCTAGTTATGAAAAAAGCAGAGTATAATCTATTACTTGGCAATTAATGGGCAAAATAATCCAAAGCTATTTTAAACTGGGATGAAGAACTTTTGAGTTTTGAAATTGAAGGAGAGTCTACAATCATCCCAGTCACTTGTACTCAATAAAAATCAGCTATGAAATTGATCAGTCTTAAGAGAAAACTTGAGAATCCTGCTCTTGAAGATAATAATGATGAATATGAATTTGAAGAAGAAGAATTAGTTGACTAGTCTCTATATACAGTACACGAAAAGCAAAGTGAGTAGCTTGTATTGAAAGTAGAAGTTCAAGAAAATCTTATAAAAATCAATGATGAAGTTATTGAACAAGAAGAAAAAGAAAGAATTCATCAAGAGAGATTAGAAGACTATAATATCTGCATTCATAATGGAAAAGAAAATAATTGTATTCAATGTAAAAAAGAATAAAACATATATAGATAGTTGGAGATACTACCTTAACTGTTATTAAATGTCACTCTAATTATAATTGAATCAGACTTGAATTCAGAACAACAACAATATCTTCACCAAGTCCTGAATTCATATAAAGATCTCTTTGATATGATCCAGCCTGATATAACAAATATACTTTAACATGAAATATATTTAAAAAAAGAAAAGTCTATCATTCTCCAACTATATCATCAAAAATCACTCATGAAAAATACCTTTCTTAAAGAAGAGATCCAAAAAATGCTGGATAATAGAATAATATCTCCTTCTAACAGTTCTTGATCAGTACTAATAGTAATAGTTAGGAAGAAAAATAGAAAATTCTAATTATGTGTAGATTACAGAAAATTAAATAAAGTCATCAAGAAAGATTAATATCTCTTATTATGAATTGATAAACTCTTAGATTCTTTCAAAAATGCTAAATACTTTACCACTATAGATCTTGCTAGTGAATTTTGGCAAGTAGAAATGCATCTAAGAGATAGAGAGAAAATAGTATTTATCATCAATAAAGGATTATATCATTTTAATATAATATTATTTGAACTTACAAACGCTCCAGCTATCTTTCAAAGGCTTATGAATAAAATATTTAAAGAATATATTAGGAAATTCATAGTTATATATTTGGATAATGTAATCATCTACTCAGAAATCTGGGAAGAACATGTAGAACATGTACAAAAAGCTCTGGAAAAACTCTGACAGGCAAATCTCAAACTTCAGTCAGATAAATATGCTTTTGAAAAAAATCAGTTATCTTTTCTAGACTATATCATAGGAAAAAATAGAATTTATCCTGATCTAGCCAAGATAGAAAAAGTACAAGAATTTCCAATACCCATCAATATTATATTATTAAGAGGATTTGTAGGACTTGCCTCTTATTATAGAAGATTTATCAAAGACTTCATCAAGATAGCCACTCTCTTGCATAAATTATTTAAAAAGAATGAAGAGTTTAGATGGACAAAAAAATAACAAGTCACTTTTGAGCCACTCAAAAAATATTTGATCTTATCACTAATTATCACATATTCAGACTTCACAAAGTTATTTACTCTTTTTATTGATACTTTTAAACTAGGATTAGATGTAGTACTAGCACAATATGATAGTGAAAAGAAGAAACATGTGATTATTTATACCAGTAGAAGAGTAAGCAAGAAAGAAAGCAAATATATAGCAACAGAACTAGAATGTCTTGAAGTTATTTGGGTAGTCAAGCTATTCAGATCTTATCAATTATCTGACATTTCATTCACACTTGTCACTGATCACTCAGCACTCAAGTGATTGATTAATAAGCCAAATTTTCCTAAAAGACTTGCATGCTGGATAATAACTTTATAAGAATATAATTTTAAGATTGAACATAAATCCAGAAGAATCCATTTAAATGTTGATTCACTTTCTAAAATACCACATACATCTACAAAAAAAAAAGACAAAACATGAATCTGAATAATTATACAGAACTATATAATTATCTTAACATACTAATAATACCTGATGAATTCTCAAAAGAAAAATAAAAATAGCTGCTGATAGAATCAAAGAAATACTTTATACAAAATTATAAACTATATAAAAGAAATAAATAGGATGTTAATCATCTATTATTAGTTATAAAATTAACAGAAATAGAGTCAGTTCTTTATAATAATCATTCAGATATTACTTTCAGACACTTTGGAATTGAAATTACTTACAATTGAATAATGAGAAATTATTATTAGTCTTAAATATATAGAGATATTGATGTATATATTAAAGTCTGTGATATATGTCAACAAAAAGAATAACTATGCAAAAATAATAAGATAATACCTATTCAAGTCAATACATCTTTTAAAAAGATTGAAATTGATTTGGTAGGTATCTCTTCCAGTAATCAGTAACAGAAATTGCTATATTGTAGTTGCTATTAATTATCTAACCAAATGGGTAGAAGCAAGATCAATTATTGATACTTCCGCAAGTACAATCATCTTCTTTCTTTATGAAGATATAGTGATGAGACATGGATTTCCAAAAGAAATACTTAGTGATAAAGGAACTATATTCATCAATAAAATAATCAAGAAACTATTAGATAAATACCAAATCAAACACAGACTTTCTACACCTTATCACCCTCAAACTAATAGACTAGTTGAGAAACTAAACCAAACTTTGTGTACTTCATTATTAAAGTATGTTCAACTTTATAAAAAAGATTAGAATCATTACCTACCTTCAGTTCTATTTGCCTACAGAATAATGAAGCAAAGTACGACTTCATTTGAATCTTTTCAACTAGTATATGATCAATAAGCAATCACATTATTAGATATTGAACTAAAAGATTTTGATAATCTTACTTTTGAAGAAGCTCTCATTAAAAGAACATGTGAATTGATTGACAAACTAGAAATCACACAAGAATTAGCCCTTAGTAATATTCAAGAGAAACAATATAAAACAAAAAGAATGGTATGACAGGAAATAAAAGTCAACAGTTTTTCAAATAGGACAGAAAGTATTAATGAGACGAATGGAAACTCAACACTGGCATCATGATAAGTTTGGTGAAAAATGGAAAGAACCATTCTATATTCATGAAGCATACAATAAAGGAGCATTTATTCGTCGTGATCGAGGATGCTTTGTGCCTAAATAAAATAGCATATACATTTTTTTTATTTTTCATTGCACACGGTTAAAAAAATCAAATTCCAATTCAGGTGAAATCTTTATTATTTTCACATATTACTGGACTAAATACTTATTTCTTACGATCAAGACTACCTTAACGCAAAAAATAATACATGAAATATATGGCGGAATGGTGGACAAAAATTCTTTCATTCATCTTTTTTTTGACTAGTACATTGACGTTTTGAAGGATGGCGATTGTCCTTATAATTAACACCGAATGCCATAGCTTGGGCTTGTAATATTTGAGCGATATATCTTAACACTTCCTTTTCGGATTCCATGTTGCCCTTAAAATTGCAAGTGTACTCTTCAGAAATATGAACTGTCGGTTCTTCCAATAACCCAGTCCAACGGACAAATCGCCATAACTTTCCAGTTGTAACTATTCCGAACATCGCTTGTTCCATTTGGCCGTGCTTGCGTTTACCCAATTGTTGTTCTATTGCGCTGTGCATTTGCACAAGAACTTGAGCTGTTCCTTTATTCATGTTTTCCGCTTTTGCTTCACATAACAGCACCAAAATTTTAACGATAACCACCATGTAGTCTACAGGGCCATACCCATGACTTCCATCCAGATCTATTTCCACGCTTAACTGTACTGATTCGTTTGTGTGGTCTTGTATAGTTTTCATGAAGGTGGAAATATATTCACGAGCCGTCTCCACATTGATGCCGAATTCTTTCTTGAATGCATTAAGTGTTTTCTGAAGCTCATCAACGAAACTTTTTAATTCGTCCTCAGTAAATGGGTGCTCTAACGAGAGTAGGTCATTTAAGTTAAATCTTGGTATACCACTAAGAGATTTATAGTCCTGTCGTAATATCTCCTTAAACACATCCTTTAGTTCCCAATCGCTATAAGACTTTTTACCCCCGACTTTGACTTTTAGCTTAATATTATAGTCGTTACCATTTAGTTCGGTCTGAGATATTAGGATGTTAAAGCAATACTCGTTCCGAATCTCATCTTTTGTTTCATCATTGAAAAAGTAGAACTCTTCTGTCTGTAACTCCTTAAATCTTTTTACGACTTCTTCTCGTAATAAACTTAAGGAGCCACTGGTATGTGGTATTTTACATTTTCCTGAACAACGTAAATAATTGAAACTACATTTGGCGGAAACTAATAAGCACTTATTTTAAGTGAGAAAAATAAAACTGAGAAAATAGAAAGCTCACTTACTATTTGCATTTGAGAGAGGGTAACGAACAAAAAGTGGTGTTTTAGCAGTTGTACTGTCTTCCAGAGTTTGTAAGCAAGTATCCGGTGGAAGAGGTGTGTTATTATTATTTAGGAATACGATATTTTGCGGTCTGATCTTTTTTAACGGTTCGAATTCGTTTTTGAGAATACGTTTGAAATCAGCCAAGTCTGTGACTTGAGATATGTTAACCTCCAACTTATCGGGATCCGGGTCACCCTCTAGAAGAATCCACACCTTTATTACGGAACTCGGACAAGAGCTGTCTGGGAAACCTAGGCGTTTTGCATCTTTGTTAGACATTTTTCTTTCAACTGCGGATAATACCAATTTAGGTTATGTATAACTTCTATTTCTGAAAAAATTACCTGAATTACTGTCTGAAGTAACTGAATCAGAAGTATCTGAATTCGTGAAATAATTGACTCTATTTTTCTTGCTAGCTCCGCTATTTTTAGAAACATCATCTAATCTTCTAGGTATTGGCGGAGATACAGTGTGTTACAAAAAAAACCATAATTACTATTTTTACTTATATTCAATGAATATTTATTTAATTCATATAAAATTTTAAATATATATACTTGATAACCTAGTGAAAAAGTTTACTTAAAAGTATTTAATAGCTTATCTTAATAAAATTTTTCATAATTAATATTTTTTTATTAATTTTTTTTTTTAAAAAATTGATTATAAAAAATTTAAAATGGGAGAACACTAAAGCAGAATAGTGCAATCCAGATTGAGTCAATCTGGGTTAATTTGATTCAGATTTACATATAGTATTACATGCAAAATAAAATAAACTTTTCAAGAAAACATTCTCATATTTCCAAGGATGAGAAGAGAAGGGGATGGAAGCTAATTATGGTTTTTATGTTAAATGCAGACTAATTAAGACTAATAATATTTATCACTATTAACGTTAAGATATATATAACTGTTAAGACATGCACTAATATACTTATTCATCATATATACTTATAATTTCTTTATATATTCTCACCATTTCTCTATATTTTCATATTTCTCTATTTCTCTCTAATATACAAGCAACAAATAAAAAATATCTCAGTATATTTAATATTAACAAATCATTTAAAGTTTTAGAAAAGAAATTTTGTGAAAATTTATGATCACTTATTTCTAACATGTGAACATGATATAGTAGTTGAAAATATAAGAATAATGATTTTTGAATTATTTACTTCTATCATCTAGCAAAATATAGAGAATCAAGTACACATAAAGAAGATATTCTTATTAAAAAGTAAAAAAAAACTAGTAAGCTTGATCCTGAAAAGTATAATACAAGAATAAAAATAATACATATTGCTTTAACTCAAACAGTTCATATTGAATATTTCAAAAATATATCTAATTATAGCTATCTAATCAAAGATAATGATAATATTAAATAATCTGAAATTATTTGACAAATGGTAATTAATGAAATAATAAAATTATATATATCATTGGTCATTATAATTATCATTAAAGAACTAACAGAAAAGAATAGTTTAGATATTATTGATCAAAATCTATGCTAAACTGAAGTTACTAATATTTAGCAAAAGATATGTGGGCTATTAATAGTTTATCTTATAGATGAGATAGATCTAGAGCTTAATATTCAAAATTTGCTTAAGTTATTAATCAGTAAAGATTATAAAGTTGAATATTTTGAGATTACTCAATAATTATTAAAAGATTTTTGCTTTGTAAGTTCTTGATAATTAAAAAAATTATAATATTATAGATAGCTTATATTCATAAACTTTACTCATAATATTAACAAATATTTCTGATATCTATTTACTTTATATATCTATGATAGTTATAATTTCTGAGATGTGAGTATATACTTTTTTCTAAGTAATGAAAATAGTAATATGATAACCAAGATATTAAAGATAATTTGAGGATTTACACCTTCTTATTAACATTCTCAGTATGTACTTAGTGACCAAAGTAATATAGAGATTAATAGTATTACAAATACTTTTTCTAGTATTATGTATAGTAAGTAAAATTATAATATTATTTTATATATTATTCATATTGTTACCATTTTAAGATTATGCGTATGTAATTATTTTAAAATGGTAATAGTGACTGTGTTCACGGTAATTATTTACTTTTATAGGTCCAAGAGGGTTATACGACTAACTATCTTCTAAATATGGTAATATATGTAAGATTTATAATTGATAAATTATAATTATCTTCTCAATAAGATAATTTATACGTGTTTTACTTTTAACAAAAATATGATTATCTTCTTAATAAGATAATATATGTGAATTTACTTTAATCAAAATGCTCTCTCAATAGAGCAAGAAGAAAATAAGATAAGATATAAGATAAAATATATGTGTTTATTAAAGA